CGTGCATTTCCTGTTTGGAAAGTGGCACTGTACTGATAGTGGTGATTTTATTTTGGAATTCTTAGCGTGCACTTCCTGTCCTGAGAGTGGAGGTCTGCACCGGAACTGTCCTGAGAGTGGAGGTCTGCAGGCAGACCCCTCTCCATCCCTTTCATGCTACCTAATCTATTAGCATTGATCATCATGACAACCTGCAAATGCAGTGTAAGGTGTAAAAAATAGATGATTTTTGACCTCCGACTGGTGAAGATTATGGAGACTAACCTTTAGTCATAAATAAATAAATAGTCCAGCTATTCAGTGTGAGCTGTGTCACTCTGCCCTAAGGTCTATGACGTTTTCAATGTATTTAATGAAATAACCCTACCATATTTTCCCCCCAAACTAAAAAAAAGTATTTGAAACAAACTAAATAAATTAGAAAATTGATTTGAACTTAATCTCATAAATCTGTAAATACGTTCAATAGTTGTCAGATATCTTTCAAATCCATTTTCTCTTGTGTTATTTTAACACAACCAAGACTTTAGGAGGGTAAAAATAGGCTTAATCAAGTTATTCCATGGGACATAAATGAGGTGGTGCTCTGTATACATTTTAAATGTTTCAAAGGGTACTTGGTAAAAAAAAACTCTTAATTATGCAACAAAATTATTATCTGGTCTTGCACAGTTAAACACAAAAAAAGAGAAGACATTTGGAAAAAGACAATATTTTTATTTTGACAGGCCTATTATTAGAGAATACAGATGTTTATTTCACTGAGAACTTCTTAAGGCTTCCCAAAATGTGAATATTGGCCTAGTCAAACGATTAATCAAACATTTTCCTACACATTCACTACTATAAAAACATTTAAAAAAATGTTTTTCTCATAACAGAAACCAAATGAAAATGCAGCCCCATTCCCAAAACTGGGTAACCCTAACTCTGTTGAGATAACGGAACAAGTGTCAAAGAAGCAGTCGCTGTGTCTCGCAAGCTTGGTTGTGTTGAAAAGGAAAATGGTGAACAATGCAGTGGATTAAATGAGGCCTCCCGTCTGTTGTTGAAACACGTCAATTGTATCTTCATCTTCCATTTCCAACTGTTAAGAGAAAAAGTTTTATAAACATGAGTCATGACTTTGATTAGCCTAAATTTGGGTGCAACCTCTTTCCCACACAATACTGGCTGCTGTCGTGGGGAAGACAGAAAAATTGCCTTTCGTCATGGCTCGTTGGTCTAGGGCAGGGGTGCCCACACTTTTTGGGCTGGTGAGCTACTTTTGAAATGACCAGCTCACCGAGGTCTACCAACCAAAAATAAAATCCCAAATTGCAAGGGTTGCTGAATAACACGTTTTATTTATACATGGGATAATAGGGCTGCAACAAACGACTCATTTGATAATCGATTAATCTATCGATTAATGAAACGACTAATCGACTATTCGGACTATTACTGTATGCCTTGCACAATTTCTCAAACGCTCTTGTTTAGCCATCAACTTTTAGATTTAGCTTGAGGTTGTTTTAGGCATGTGGAAACTAACAAGACAATAAAGATTAATACTTGATTCAAAAATACATATATTATTAAATTAACAAATTGTGAACAAAACTAACATTGCTTTTTATTTAAATTAAATAAATAATATTTCACATCAAAAGAAACAACAATGTTTTAACAAATGGTATTACATAATCTGATGACAGAACTGTGAACAGAATAGCTGAAACGTTAACAAAATAAAGAGTAACTCAGTTTCCTCTCATCATTAACCCATGTTTGAATCATTGAGTTAACTCCGTGTGTTGCTGCTAGCATACATAACACCTGACGTGGAAACGTTCCTCGTGGATGGGGCTACAGAGCTGCTAGAAAGACAGTCGAACCCGGTGCATTCCTCCGTCTGAATGTGGAGCACTTTTGCTAAATGTTTAGACACATTGCTCGTGTTACCGCCCTCACATGCTGAACTCTCTTGGCAAGGAGCATTGTCCTCAAGACGGGTAACATTTAACCACACCTTGGAGCGCTTCTCTCCGCCATCTCCTCCGTGTGTTGCTGCATGTAGCAGCCGCGTGTGTGTAAACTGCCCCGCCCCCTCGCGCACAGACGGGGAGAGAGATCTCGTCTCGATTGGAAAGGATCGAAAATACACCGACATTTGTTTGTCTTTTTGCATGTTAGAAACGAGTTGGCGACACTAAGACTACGAGATAATGTTTGTGTAGCAATAATACAGACCTTCTCTTCTCAACTCGCTACTCGGAGGGAAGTCGCTGTCATATGCCTTGTGAACACTCCGATAATGCCTCTCCACGTTACCTTTCTTTGGCAGAGCGACGCTTGCTTTACAAATAAGGCAAATAACCTTTGAATGTGACATCACAAACAAATATTCTTCCTCCCATTCTGGGTGGAAGTGGTTTGTCTTTAGCTTCTTGCTCGGTCCCGCACTCATTTTGTTGTTTGTCTCTTGTTTGTCTCTTTAACTTAATTTGAGTTTTCCCGGCACTTGACTGATTTTGTATCGCTTTGCATTCTGGGTTAACAGACTGGAAAGCGATAGGTCGCTTTTTCTGTCAATCAAGTAAACTCCTGAATTAAGTGGCAGGGAGGCCAAGGGAGGAGGGATCAAAACCTGTTTTGTCTATTTTAACGGAACAGGATTTTTTTTTTTATGAATGACTCGCGATGTCCCCAGCATTGCCCCCGCGGTCGACGTACTGGGCACCTCTGGTCTAGGGGTATGATTCTCGCTTTGGGTGCGAGAGGTCCCGGGTTCAAATCCCGGACGAGCCCAGGATGTCTTCAAAGATGAGGAAACAGGTTAAGTTTAGGTAGCAAAAAAAGTTTGTTGGAAGCAATGTGGACTTCACAATTTGACCAATACTGTGCCATAGCTAGAAACCTAGTGATTAGTAGGGGCACAATACTGATCAAGGCTCATCTTCTGTGTAGAGAAGCCATACATGTTTATCCAAGCTGTGTTCATTGAGGACAAAGTGCAATTAATGGAAAAGTGTTTTGCATTGTCATTTAAGCAGGCTGTCGTGGGGAAGACAGACAAATTGCCTTTCGTCATGGCTCGTTGGTCTAGGGGTATGATTCTCGCTTAGGGTGCGAGAGGTCCCGGGTTCAAATTCCGGACGAGCCCACGACATCTACAACAGGTTTAGTTGAGGTATCAATAATTGTTCTTTTTCAGCAATGTCTACTTCACAATTTGACCAATCCTGTGCCCTGCTAGAAACCTAGTGTTTAGTAGAGGCACAAACTGACCAAGACTCATCATCTGAGTAGAGAAGCCATGCATTTTCATCCAAGCTTTGTTTATTGAGGCATAATGCAATGAATGGAAAAGTGTTTGGCGATGTCATTTAAGCAGGCAATTATTTCACCTTACCACCTTCTAACAAGTGGTGTCAGAAGCAAAGGCCTAACAAACACTTTGAGGAAAGACAAAGATGCCCGGAGGAAGAAAGAAGTCAGAGAAACAGATGGAGCCAGATGACGGTGCACCGGTCCAGCAAGGGGCGACAGCAGACAAAACTCCTGAGCAACTGGAGGAATTGACAAACATGGTGAAGTCTCTTGTCTGTTTCAATACATCCAGAGATCAGCAATGGGAGAAAGAGTCTGTGCACCAAGAGCAGAGATGGAGGAACATGCACCTAGAGTTTCAAAAAATACAAGCCCAGGTGACAGAATTAAAGAGCCTGTGACACGAGTTTCCCCCATCATCCAAACCCATACATTTGAGTAAATATTGTCCCCTTGAAAACCGTTACTGAACTGATTTTGGATATTTGTACTTTGATAACCATTAATCTGCCCTTCAATGTTGAACATTTTCTGGATCTTCTCGAGGATTCTTCAAGTCCCGCCAAATTACGTGTGACGTCATTGCGGGCACAGCGCTCCAGCGGCACCGTTCAGGATCCCAGCAGCTGCATGTAAACGCACGATGGCGCACACAGCAGACAGCTCAGACAGACAGTTTACTTTTGAACGTGTCTGAGAGCTCATATGAGGCTGAAGGATCGGAAAGTGATACTCATGACATTGTAGACGATATTGGCTATATGCCCTACCGATTCGAACCATATGCCTCTGAATCGGGTGAAACGAACTCCGAGTCGGACAGTGGAGATGACAACCCGCCCGACGATCGCCAGATACCTCTCGATCTACGCCTGAACAATGTGGAATGGTTTGTAAACTATTTTATTTACGGAGCCAATGGGGTTGAATGGGGTGCAAATCTATAGCTTCTGGAGTAAAATATATTCCATTAGGCAACAATTAATTGTTGGCTTCCTATTAATTAATGCATGTTAATAAAATAAAGATGTGGTAAATTACAAACAGCAAATATGTGATGAATCATGTTTATAATGATTTTTATCACACACAATATATACCACATTTTACTGATGTTTATTACAATTCATGCAGCATTTCTAAAAATACAACTGTTGTTTTCAAGGTGCACATGTGGATGCTGCAGAGCAGACAACCTGGAAACAGTACAGGAGTGTGTATGCTGCAGAGCTGGCAAAGGTCCAGGCACTCAATGGCAACCATGGGGGATCCTGCATCACACAGCACCCTGGATTTGAGGCAGTCTGCCTAAATGAATATGTGCTGGACGTGGCCTATTCATACTACAAGCAGAACCATGGCCACCTCAACAAATCCCCACACGAGTATGTATAATCTGACAACAAATTAAACTTCTGATGTGCAAACACTATACACTGTTCATACCATATTGATGCAAGTAGGCGACCATGTACACTGATGACAATACCACTACAGATTTGAGCTTGCCCACTGAAACATTACTACTTCAAGTGGTAACAGACATCTTTCACTGTCACTTTTGTGAGCATTTGCCATAGTACTTATTATATTTGCCACATGTTACGTTCCCTACTGGACTAGGGGAACCAAAGAGAAGTAACAAAACACAAAAACAACCGGGCAAGAGAAAAAGGAGAGGAAACCGGTTTGTGAAGCCACAAGATGGACTTTTAATTAAACAAAGAGAAAGGGCTCACCAGCCAACTTGCAAAATAAACTATAACAACTTTCTTTAAACAGAAAGTGACTACATTAAACAAGGTACACTGGAGCACATCTCCTAACAATGAGCAACACACACATTAAACTAGGCCTCACACAGAGACAGACACCATGCTGCACACATGCAGCCAGAGGAGAAGGGGAGCGGGCCACTGCAGCCTTCCTCAGGTCCTTTATGGAGGTCCTGATTGGTGATTGGGAGCACCTGGGGGAGAGGCTGCACCTGGAGACAATCAGGGAGAGAGAGAAACACACACACACACCAGCACCCACTACGGCACGTAACACTCATCACAAAACTATTTTACAGATATGAACATCTTACACTTCGTAATGTAATGCATATTAAAACTAATAACTCACTCTCCCTATGTTTTTCCCTACAGACGTCGACGCTACACTGCCTACCGCCAATTGGTACGATGGTGCTGGGGATACCTCGGCAAGCAAATCAGGGTACCACTGCCTGCCTGTGTCGTGGTGAAGATCCGTGATACCTTCCCATCACCCGACTACCAGGGATTTCAAGAGCCACAGCCAGAACCTGATGAACCTCATTTATTTCTTGAAGCGACTTAGGTGTTGCTTCACAAAGTCTGCTTTCTCGGGATGTGGGAACTCGGCACAAAGTGGGGGTGGCACAATCACTGGTTCCACTGCGAACTCTGCCTCAACATTCTCCTTGTCTGTGCACTCCTTCTGCCAGGAGTTCTTGGGCATATTCTGCAAGTGCCAATTGAAATAGTTCAAGACATGCTGTTGCAATTTTGTAATTGATTCTTGCGTCACTTCACAATAGTCATGCCCATCACTGTGCAAACCTTAATAAATGCCTTAATGAATTATCTCTGTCTGAGGAAGGAATTGGTAATGTTACAAGGTTGTATGTTACAGAATGTCACTGATACAATGTGCATAGCAACCACATCATGTTGTCTTTACTTTTTCTTTATTACATTATTACAAATTTCACTCACCATAGGTTGGACTTTCCAACACTCTGCGAAGTACTGCTGCTCCCTTTCTACCCTTTGGGTACTTGATGCTATACATGGCTTCCCCAGGCTTTGTCACGCCTTGTACCCGGTTGGCATTTTCATTGAAGTGGAGGGCTGCAATCAGTATCCTGCAATAAGAATTGGAGCATAATTATGTCTTAATATTTGTTTATTACTGGGATTCATACAAACTGGGAGGGGGGGGCTTCCTTCCTTTTTACAATTGTTATAAGCATGTGTACCTGTGTTACTTTTAAAACAGAATTTAACATACATTTGCAAAATACTTCGATATTTCATTTCAATCCAGCCTCTTGTCAATGAAGTTTCTCAAGGGCTACTTCATATAAAATATGTATTATTGCTAGACCTCATGGTTATTTTTAAAACACTGTAAGCCGGATCAATGGTGATAAACTTACCGACAAAGCATTCCTGTGTAGGAGAAGACATACATCTTCGGCGCAAACTGGATAAGGAGGCTGTGGAATCCCTCCACTGCTGATGTTTGGGAGCCCCCAGATAGCTTCAAAATGTCGTTACACAGGGTTTTGTTGCACACCAGCGTCTCCAATTTGACTGCTGCCTTGGATGCTGAAAAAGATTTTTAAAAGTTTACCCTATGGAAACTTGGATATGTCCAGGGGTGCACATAACTTTTTTGCCCTGGTTCTCAAAGGAGCACCTGGAGATGTTGCTTGGTGCTCATCCTTAAAATGAAATAAACCGTAACTTTTGAGGGGGTCTTGACTTTATTTGCCAGACACACGGCACTGAACACACATGCAGAGGTGAACACTGAACACACATGCAGAGGTGAACACAGAACACACATGCAGAGGTGAACACAGAACACACATGCAGAGGTGAACACAGAACACACACACAGAGGTGAACACAGAACACACATGCAGAGGTGAACACAGAACACACATGCAGTGGTGAACACAGAACACACATGCAGAGGTGAACACAGAACACACATGCAGTGGTGAACACAGAACACACATGCAGTGGTGAACACAGAACACACATGCAGAGGTGAACACAGAACACACATGCAGAGGTGAACACAAGACAACATTAGCACGACCAGTAATCCTACAAGCTGTCCTCACTGTTCTCCTCACTGTTCTCCTCACTGTCTTCCTCTCTGTCAGACATGGTAGCTGATGATGTAGGCCTACTTCTTCCTCTCTGGTTGAGTCTGCGATTAGCTGCTTGCATCCACAAGTCAACAGCTGGGTTTGGGTCGAAAGTCTCTGTTGTCATCTTAGACAAGTGGATGTAATCAAATAAGTATGTGAACATAACCAATCACCTACCATAGCCAATAACAAATTAATGTAACTTATTTTATTTGTGTTGTTCATTCATATCTTATTTTACCTTAACATTTATTTATTTATGCATTTTTTTTTTATATCTCCAGTTTTAAAGGATATTTTTGGTTACTGTCCTATAGTATACATTGGAATGATTTGAAACCTGTTCATCCCAATAATTATAAAGGAGTGCCTTGGAAATATGTGTTTACATCAATTGTGACCAAACCGTTTGAACTTAGACTAAGAGTCCTTTACCTCACTGAGCTGTAGTATCAGCCTCTCAGTCTGACTGGAGAGGACTCTCCCTCCACATTATTGTAGAAACATCTTCTTCTTATCCGTTAGAGCAGCTAGCACGGCACCAGATTCTAATAACAACAGCGCTGGTACCGGTGCACCCTCCCTCTCTCCCTCGCATTTTGGCTGTGAGCTACGGGCGCCAGATAAGCCAACATCCCCCATTTTCATCACTTACAGCGCCCATCGTACAGGGCAAATGAAACGTGTAACCGGGGTGAAAAGGGTGTTACATTTACTTAATTATGAATATTGTTACATCAAGGCCGAAAATTAGGATGAGCCCCAACGGTCAAAATGTTTTTTTCCCTCCCAGAGCTGCCAGCGCAGCGACTCCCCAGATCTGGCGCCCTAGGCGAACATCTAGCCAGCGCTACGGGCCGGCCCTGAGTTCATATGCAACTCGCAAATATCTTTCTCTCTCTCTTCTCTCTCCTCTATTTTCTATTTTCTCTTTTCTCCTTTCTCTTCTCCCTTCTCTCTCTCCATCTCTCAATGTTGGTACGCAAATGCGCTTTGTTTCAAATGACCCGGTGCTCTTTTTTTGGCGGAGGTGCGCATGCGCACCAGTTATGTGCAGCCCTGGATATATCATATTTACATACCACTGCAAAAGGATGAGGTTGTATTTAAATACAAGAACCTGTTTTAATACGACTGTTTGCCATTTTGGATACCTTTGATCCTATATTATATAACCTAACAGAAAAAAATCCCTCATATTTATTTTCTTTGGTCCCTAACATTTCTGTTTTGAGACTGCACAAAGAATTGTTGCTGATTACTGGCAACTGATTATATTGATCCATTATCAGTAACTTAAAATGTGTAGCCATGTATATTTACAGTTCAGGATTTGTATATAGTATATGCTAATTATATATTACATTTGGGAAAAAAAACACTCACATGGTTCCAGCCATTTCTTGTGGGACTCCCTCCCCTCCAGCCTGCCATGGATGCATGACGGGAATAGGTCTCCATGGCCTGTGTGTACGTTCTGTACATGAGACACAACCGACTCCCATTTTGCAACAATCTGGGCTCCTTGACCAGAAGGGGTCGACACCGCACACCAGTACATATGGTTGCTCACACTCTTTATCCATGGGCGAAGCACCTGACACTCCCGCTCATTGGACGCCGCAAGCAGTTTTTTGGAAAATCCTAGAAATATATAGAGGCACAAACAGATATTTGCATTAAATAAATAGTTTAAATCTAAAGGACATCAATATGTTCACAAACTTATCACAGCTGTATAGACTACTTATCAGGTTCAGTATCTGCAAATAAAATGTAGAAAGTAAATATTTATCTATTTTACAAATACATAACCAAGCCACAAAACAATTACATGATTGCATTTATAATCCTACATGTGTCTACATTTATATCATATCTGTGTGTTAAGAATTCCATCACATATAATGGCGCATTTCCACTGCAGCGGGTAGCCCCGTTTAAGCGTCCTTAACCGTCCTCAAGCGGCCAGGCCAGTTTTTGGTGGCCTTTCCATATAGCCTAGTACCGGCTAGCGGGTACTTTTCCCCTCTTTTTCCGGCCCCATAAAATCGTGGTTCTATCAGACCAGGGCCAGGGCTGAACTAGTGACGTCAACACTCTCGACTGCTGATTGGTCAGAGAGAATCGTCACAAGATCGCGTGCGAGTTCATCCCTAGCGTCGCATATATATTTAGAAGCAAGCTTGCAGCATTTTTATAAACAGCATTTTGTAAACGGATGAGCTACAAAAATGGCTACGTCTAATAAGAAAAGCACACCGTGGTCGACCGAGGAGGTGACGACGTTCCTACATCTCATTGGGGATGATCAAATCCAGCGGGAGCTCGACGGAACAACTCGAAATGTGAACAAAAACAAAGCCGATCGCCCCGCCTACACTGCGTTGCTACCCCAGGTCCTAAACTGTAATGGCAATGCGCCACGGCCTCGGACGGCCAGCGAGGCAGCCCGAGGGCCTGAGCGAGGACGCTTAAACGGGGCTACCCCGTTGCAGTGGAAATGCGCCATAAGAGAGCTCAGAGAGCCAAGTGCTAAACATACTAAGAAATGTTTACTCAAGCGATGTATATGTCACTTAGTCAAATGTCAAATGCTGACACAAACCTTTTGCTACATGCCAGATATCATAGAGGTGCTCAATGTGGGGGTAGGTCTCTCTGAGCCACTTGGCTATTTGCCCGTGTCGGTCGGTGACCATCGTGCCCACTGCAAGTCCATGCCGCTCAAGATGAGCCACGGAGCGCTCCAACCCAGTTTTCTCCATATGGTAGCTACCACCACATTCATTGCTCTAAAACAGCAGAAAACAGATACATAGGTATTAGACAAATGTATACAATGCAAATATAACTACACATAGACCTGCAGTAAATGTAATAGATAACAGGTTTAATATGTAATAATCCAAACTAAATAATTTGAAATAATTATTGTCCTAAGTTAATATATTTTAATTCATTATGAAATTGGTATATACAATTGTATTATTTAAAACTAATTTGTGGATTACAGCACCTAGACATTTTGTAAATAGAATCATAGGAAACTACGAGAAAAACAATTATGCAAACCTAGCTGTGGTTTTATTCTATATCTATTTTGTCCATATATCCAATGCAGCTGGTTTGAATTGGCCACACCATTGGCTAATTATTTGCAAAAATGTCAACAAATGTAATAATAGATATTTAAAAAAATACACTTAATATCAGTGTTTTGCATATACAAAATATATCAGTCAAGTGATTTCAACCCTGCTCATAAACTTATTCAGATACCGGTAACCCACCTGAACTAGCTGAATATCTATTACTACATTGGCATGCAGCTCCAACATGGTGTAACTCCCAAACTTTGCACAATGTCCCGGGCTATCGGCCCGGCCATCACCTCCCAGGACCAGGTCTCTTCCCTCTGCCTGAAATGTGCCAAGCAAGAATGTCTGTCTCATGTTCCATACTCGCTGGACAACTGGCAACAAAACACTTCTCTGGTGCCGGAAATATGTCCGTGAAGATATGGTCGCCAATGCCATGGTTCTCATAACCCGCAGAACCTTTCCTGCAGTGGCACCTGCCAACAAAATTGAAGCGGACAAGAGAATGTTGCCCGCTGGTGTGCTGCCGATGTAGGGTTGGCTGTTCCATGTCACTTTCTTGAAGCAAGATGCACATGACAACGTAATGACTAGGAGTGAGCCAATGACATTGTTGCATGTGGAAATGTCAACTGAACCACAGTCGGGGCAGTGGCACCAGCTGAGCAACCTCGTGAGGCAAGTCATGAAGACAATAAACTTCTTCTCCTTGTGGATGGGTGTGACAGGCTCATCCATATCCGGCTCACTGTTCCTCTGGTAGTCACCTTCTGATGATGAAAGGTCAGGTGACGAAGGTGGAGATGGAGATGATGATGATGATGGTGGAGGTGATACCTCTTTCTTTGGGGTGGGAATGATGTTGCATTGACTGCCAGTGTCTTGGAACAGCTTCCTCTCTATTGGAGTCCCTGAAAAGAGATTTCCAAATATGAATTATGATATGAAAAACCAATCATCAAACCATACCAGTAATATTTTTGCAAGAAGGTAATAGACAGTCCAGTTTACAGCAATACAAGCATGTGCAGATTATATGGAAAGTACTAGAGTGTGACTTATTTTGGAAAATGAAGCCACTTGCATGTTAGGCTTATTTGCCAGGGTCCACGTATATTTGGCCTAATAGTTCAATATACATTTCCCGCAAAACTTCACATGCTGTGATACATGTACATGTACGATTTAATGAGATGGAAATGTTGTTATTGAATTATGTTATCATCTACATACCATTATTAAAACCATTATTTTGACTCTGTATTTAATACATAAATCCTATGCATTGCCAAATTCATCTTCCTTTGATTTATAAACTTTATATGCTTTTGTAGTATATATGTATATGCATAATTGGATTACACTGGTGAGTGGTCCCTCCATTATAAGACCTTACCTGCACCAAGAAAATCATATAATGTAGGTGGTATTATAATAGAGGGCTAGGAACAGAATGAATATAACTTGGTTCTCGATGAGGCATCATAGCGCAGAGGGATTGTACAATGCAGAGACCACTGGACACACATATGCACTTAATTTTGTAACTGATAATGACTGATAATAATAATAACAACTGACCTGTTGTCTTTTCTCGCGGCTTAGTTTGAACCCCTTTGCTCCTCTGTGGCTTTTTCTTCTCCTTTACTGGATCAGTTTGGCAAGCAGAGGTCATAGTGCCTGGCGTCTCTTGCATGGGATCATCTGATGCATCACTGCATGCAGTTGAAGTATGTGCAGCTGATGCACCATCAGCTGTCAACCGTGGCTTTAGGAGAGAATCCAAAACCTACAAGCACAAGGGTGACATTTACATTACAATTATTACATCAGGAATTATTCAAGTTACACGATTGCTAAACTGAATCGCGGCCAAAGTATTTGTTTTTACCTGAGTTTTCTCTCGTTTCTCGAAGTAGGCACTTCTGTGGCGTTTTGCTGGGGGGGGTGGCGGTGGCAAAGTCTCCGGTGCCTTGACGGATTTGCGACGGCGTGGGAAAGAGAGTAGGCACTGCTGACGGCTTCAGAATCCGTTTTCGCGTTACATCTATCCCACTTCCAACCATCCATATAGGCCCTTCCTCGAAATCATCGGGCAGAAAGTGGGCACTGCATATGTAGGTCGTTCGGGGGTTCTTCACAGACCATTTGGCCCTTGTGTTCTGCACGTTTTTCTCCCATGTGCGCTGACGCTTGACATCTGTGGGAAAGCTATGGATGCTGATGTTTAGTTCGTCATTTGCTGTATTGGAACACCCAGACACAACGCATCGTCGAACCATTCTTACTGATGGCAACACACTTTGTCCGTGTTTGGATCTCTCGCCGCACGGTGAAGTGTTCCCGCATTGACGTCACTTCCGGCTTCCCCCCAAACCTCAAAATGAGTCGAAGGAATTTTCCCGCGATGTTCGAAATTATTGATATTTATCGAAACGGTATCGCTTTTTCTTTTTTAAACTGACGGTTCGAGATTACTAGTAGCCCACTATTTCATTGCACAACAGTTGTTGGGTGGCTGTCACAGGCTCTTTAAAAGAAGAATCGGAAAACAGAACTGAGCGCCGTCGCCATGAGGAGGATTATGATGATGAGGACGACGGGGAGGAGCTCAGGTTACGAGCAGACCGATCCGACCTGTGGAATGAGCCGCCATTGGGGAGAAGAGCACCACACTTCCGTAGAGACCCCAAGTTAATGCCACTCACTCCTGAAGATGATATTGAGCACTTTATGACGTTTGAAATTATGGCCACTGTCTGCCTATGGCCCGAAAGAAGATTGGGCAATTCAGCTTGTGCCACTGCTCACAGGTAAAGCATGCAGTGCCTTTGTTTTCATGGTTGTATACTGTGTGGGTGATGGAGGACAGCCATGTGGTCACAGTGGTTGAGAAAATAAAACAGTTTTCTGTGGAAAAACACCAACCTGCCTGCTTCTTCTATTTGTCCTCCATGGCTGCTCGGGCATTCTAACAAGTGGACACCACTTGTTAGAAGTTGGTAAGGTGAAATAATTGCTTTTTGTCATGGCTCGTTGGTCTAGGGCAGGGGTGGGGAACCTCCGGCCCCTGGGCCGTATACGGCCCGCGAGACCATTTGGTGTGGCCCTCGAGGTAATTTATAAACACACGCAAAAAAGAAAACAATTAAAGAAATCTAAACCGAAAAAATAATTAAACAAGTGAGTGCCTGTTTTTCCTGGCCAAGGTCAGGGTCCTTGAACACAACACGAGCCTAACGTGTCATCACGTGGTATATGTCTTGTCTGACAGGGGTGCAGTTCTGACGGAGAGCACCAGAACGCAGCTCCGCTCCGGCTCCTCCAAAAATTGCAGTACCCCATAAGGAGCCGTACACATGCTGCAGTTTTTGCGTGGCTGTGTCTTTAGCTGAAAGCCCAGTGGCGATCTGTCATACTGATCATACAGTCAATAACTTTGTTGTTATTAGCATCTGGTTAGCTAGCTATGCTAACGAATATAAGAAGCTTTTTCTACAACCAGTGAGGTAAAGGCACATCTTTATATGATCATTATAGTTATACAAAAATAAGAGAATTCATTTCATTTCAAACCTTTATTTATACAGATAAATCCCATTGAGATCATTGATCTCTTTTTCAAGGGAGACCTGCTCAAGTAGTTCCACATGAAACATAAAAACATAATTAGAACAAAAAGACATCATACAGCATCATTTACATAATTATCCACATAAACAGGTACCAATAGCTTCCGATTGAGTAGCATCCAACCAAGCTTTAAAAACATTTAGTGGCACCAGATTGTTCAGTTTCCATTTAATTTGCAGACTATTCCAAGACAGAGGAGCTGCGCATCTAAAAGCTGTCTTCCCCTAGCAGTTGTAATAAAAGTAAACGGGTATAAAATACTATATGACAGTAAAAAAAAGTTGTTATTAATAAACAAGAATACAGTTTGAAAGGAGAGTGATTTGTAAAATATCCATAAAGAAAAAGAAATCTGCTTACAGGTCTGTTTCATATGGGTGTTGAGAGATGTATCCATAGATCTCCTCATGTTGCTCTCAAAGTGCACCAGATTGATGCTTTCAACTTCAACATTTAAAAACAAATCTTCCCGGGGGAGCATGCCCCCGGACCCCCCTAGAGGAGGTTAGGTCCCCCCCACTTAAATCATGTTCACGTGGAAGAGGTTGCTTTTTCTTTGCACAGCATGAAAGAAAGGTGAAATGAGTGGGCTGTGATTTTAGTATTTTAAAGCAGAGGTCAATAAGTTGTACGGCCCTCGGAGGATGTTGAAAACATTGAAATGGCCCTTGAGAGGAAAAAGGTTCCCCACCCCTGGTCTAGGGGTATGATTCTCGCTTTGGGTGCGAGAGGTCCCGGGTTCAAATCCCGGACGAGCCCAGGATGTCTTCAAAGATGAGGAACAGGTTAAGTTTAGGTAGCAAAAAAAGTTTGTTGGAAGCAATGTGGACTTCACAATTTGACCAATACTGTGCATAGCTAGAAACCTAGTGTTTAGTAGGGGCACAAACTGACCAAGGCTCATCTTCTGTGTAGAGAACCCATACATTTATATCCAAGCTGTGTTCATTGAGGACAAAGTGCAATTAATGGAAAAGTGTTTTGCATTGTCATTTAAGCAGGCTGTCGTGGGGAAGACAGAAAAATTGCCTTTTGTCATGGCTCATTGGTCTAGGGGTATGATTCTCGCTTCGGGTGCGAGAGGTCCCGGGTTCAAATCCCGGACGAGCCCACGACATCTACAACAGGTTTAGTTGAGGTATCAATAATTGTTCTTTTTCAGCAATGTCTACTTCACAATTTGACCAATCCTGTGCCCTGCTAGAAACCTAGTGTTTAGTAGAGGCACAAACTGACCAAGGCTCATCTTCTGTGTAGAGAAGCCATGCATTTTCATCCAAGCTTTGTTTATTGAGGCATAATGCAATGAATGGAAAAGTGTTTGGCGATGTCATTTAAGCAGGCAATTATTTCACCTTACCACCTTCTAACAAGTGGTGTCAGAAGCAAAGGCATAACAAACACTTTGAGGAAAGACAAAGATGCCCGGAGGAAGAAAGAAGTCAGAGAAACAGATGGAGCCAGATGACGGTGCACCGGTCCAGCAAGGGGCGACAGCAGACAAAACTCCTGAGCAACTGGAGGAATTGACAAACATGGTGAAGTCTCTTGTCTGTTTCAATACATCCAGAGATCAGCAATGGGAGAAAGAGTCTGTGCACCAAGAGCAGAGATGGAGGAACATGCACCTAGAGTTTCAAAAAATACAAGCCCAGGTGACAGAATTAAAGAGCCTGTGACACGAGTTTCCCCCATCATCCAAACCCATACATTTGAGTAAATATTGTCCCCTTGAAAACCGTTACTGAACTGATTTTGGATATTTGTACTTTGATAACCATTAATCTGCCCTTCAATGTTGACCATTTTCTGGATCTTCTCGGGGATTCTTCAAGTCCCGCCAAATTATGTGTGACGTCATTGCGGGCACAGCGCTCCAGCTGCACCGTTCAGGATCCCAGCATCTGCATGTAAACGCACGATGGCGCACACAGCAGACAGCTCAGACAGACAGTTTACTTTTGAACGTGTCTGAGAGCTCATATGAGGCTGAAGGATCGGAAAGTGATACTCATGACATTGTAGACGATATTGGCTATATGCCCTACCGATTCGAACCATATGCCTCTGAATCGGGTGAAACGAACTCCGAGTCGGACAGTGGAGATGACACGGACGATCGCCAGATACCTCTCGATCTACGCCTGAACAATGTGGAATGGTTTGTAAACTATTTTATTTACGGAGCCAATGGGGTTGAATGGGGTGCAAATCTATAGCTTCTGGAGTCAAATATATTCCATTAGGCAACAATTAATTGTTGGCTTCCTATTAATTAATGCATGTTAATAAAATAAAGATGTGGTAAATTACAAACAGCAAATATGTGATGAATCATGTTTACAATGATTTTTATCACACACAATATATACCACATTTTACTGATGTTTATTACAATTCATGCAGCATTTCTAAAAATACAACTGTTGTTTTCAAGGTGCACATGTGGATGCTGCAGAGCAGACAACCTGGAAACAGTACAGGAGTGTGTATGCTGCAGAGCTGGCAAAGGTCCAGGCAACCATGGGGGATCCTGCATCACACAGCACCCTGCTGGACGTGGCCTATTCATACTACAAGCAGAACCATGGCCACCTCAACAAATCCCCACACGAGTATGTATAATCTGACAACAAATTAAACTTCTGATGTGCAAACACTATACACTGTTCATACCATATTGATGCAAGTAGGCGACCATGTACACTGATGACAATACCACTACAGATTTTAGCTTGCCCACTGAAACATTACTACTTCAAGTGGTAACAGACATCTTTCACTGTCACTTTTGTGAGCATTTGCCATAGTACTTATTATATTTGCCACATGTTACGTTCCCTACTGGACTAGGGGAACCAAAGAGAAGTAACAAAACACAAAAACAACCGGGCAAGAGAAAAAGGAGAGGAAACCGGTTTGTGAAGCCACAAGATGGACTTTTAATTAAACAAAGAGAAAGGGCTCACCAGCCAACTTGCAAAATAAACTATAACAACTTTCTTTAAACAGAAAGTGACTACATTAAACAAGGTACACTGGAGCACATCTCCTAACAATGAGCAACACACACATTCAACTAGGCCTCACACAGAGACAGACACCATGCTGCACACATGCAGCCAGAGGAGAAGGGGAGCGGGCCACTGCAGCCTTCCTCAGGTCCTTTATGGAGGTCCTGATTGGTGATTGGGAGCACCTGGGGGAGAGGCTGCACCTGGAGACAATCAGGGAGAGAGAGAAACACACACACACACACACACACACCAGCACCCACTACGGCACGTAACACTCATCACAAAACTATTTTACAGATATGAACATCTTACACTTCGTAATGTAATGCATATTAAAACTAATAACTCACTCTCCCTATGTTTTTCCCTACAGACGTCGACGCTACACTGCCTACCGCCAATTGGTACGATGGTGCTGGGGATACCTCGGCAAGCAAATCAGGGTACCACTGCCTGCCTGTGTCGTGGTGAAGATCCGTGATACCTTCCCATCACCCGACTACCAGGGATTTCAAGAGCCACAGCCAGAACCTGATGAACCTCGTTTATTTCTTGAAGCGACTTAGGTGTTGCTTCACAAAGTCTGCTTTCTCGGGATGTGGGAACTCGGCACAAAGTGGGGGTGGCACAATCACTGGTTCCACTGCGAACTCTGCCTCAACATTCTCCTTGTCTGTGCACTCCTTCTGCCAGGAGTTCTTGGGCATATTCTGCAAGTGCCAATTGAAATAGTTCAAGACATGCTGTTGCAATTTTGTAATTGATTCTTGCGTGACTTCACAATAGTCATGCCCATCACTGTGCAAACCTTAATAAATGCCTTAATGAATTATCTCTGACTGAGGAAGGAATTGGTAATGTTACAAGGTTGTATGTTACAGAATGTCACTGATACAATGTGCATGGCAACCACATCATGTTGTCTTTACTTTTTCTTTATTACATTATTACAAATGTCACTCACCATAGGTTGGACTTTCCAACACTCTGCGAAGTACTGCTGCTCCCTTTCTACCCTTTGGGTACTTGATGCTATACATGGCTTCCCCAGGCTTTGTCACGCCTTGTACCCGGTTGGCATTTTCATTGAAGTGGAGGGCTGCAATCAGTATCCTGCAATAAGAATTGGAGCATAATTATGTCTTAATATTTGTTTATTACTGGGATTCATACAAACTGGGAGGGGGGGGCTTCCTTCCTTTTTACAATTGTTATAAGCATGTGTACCTGTGTTACTTTTAAAACAGAATTTAACATACATTTGCAAAATACTTCGATATTTCATTTCAATCCAGCCTCTTGTCAATGAAGTTTCTCAAGGGCTAGTTCATATAAAATATGTATTATTGCTAGACCTCATGGTTATTTTTAAAACACTGTAAGCCGGATCAATGGTGATAAACTTACCGACAAAGCATTCCTGTGTAGGAGAAGACATACATCTTCGGCGCAAACTGGATAAGGAGGCTGTGGAATCCCTCCACTGCTGATGTTTGGGAGCCCCCAGATAGCTTCAAAATGTCGTTACACAGGGTTTTGTTGCACACCAGCGTCTCCAATTTGACTGCTGCCTTGGATGCTGAAAAAGATTTTTAAAAGTTTACCCTATGGAAACTTGGATATGTCCAGGGGTGCACATAACTTTTTTGCCCTGGTTCTCAAAGGAGCACCTGGAGATGTTGCTTGGTGCTCATCCTTAAAATGAAATAAACCGTAACTTTTGAGGGGGTCTTGACTTTATTTGCCAGACACACGGCACTGAACACACATGCAGAGGTGAACACAGAACACACATGCAGAGGTGAACACAGAACACACATGCAGAGGTGAACACAGAACACACATGCAGAGGTGAACACAGAACACACATGCAGTGGTGAACACAGAACACACATGCAGAGGTGAACACAGAACACACATGCAGAGGTGAACACAGAACACACATGCAGAGATGAACACAGAACACACATGCAGAGGTGAACACAGAACACACATGCAGAGGTGAACACAGAACACACATGCAGAGGTGAACACAGAACACACACACACAGAGGTGAACACAGAACACACATGCAGAGGTGAACACAGAACACACACACAGAGGTAAACACAGAACACACATGCAGAGGTGAACACAGAACACACACACAGAGGTGAACACAGAACACACATGCAGAGGTGAACACTGAACACACATGCAGAGGTGAACACTGAACACACACACAGAGGTGAACACAGAACACACACACAGAGGTAAACACAGAACACACATGCAGAGGTGAACACAGAACACACATGCAGAGGTGAACACAGAACACACATGCAGAGGTGAACACTGAACACACATGCAGAGGTGAACACAGAACACACACACAGAGGTGAACACAGAACACACATGCAGAGGTGAACACAGAACACACACACAGAGGTGAACACAGAACACACATGCAGAGGTGAACACAGAACACACACACAGAGGTAAACACAGAACACACATGCAGAGGTGAACACAGAACACACACACAGAGGTGAACACAGAACACACATGCAGAGGTGAACACAAGACAACATTAGCACGACCAGTAATCCTACAAGCTGTCATCACTTCCCTCCTGGCTGTTCTCCTCACTGTCTTCCTCTCTGTCAGACATGGTAGCTGATGATGTAGGCCTACTTCTTCCTCTCTGGTTGAGTCTGCGATTAGCTGCTTGCATCCACAAGTCAACAGCTGGGTTTGGGTCGAAAGTCTCTGTCATCTTAGACAAGTGGATGTAATCAAAAAAGTATGTGAACATAACCAATCACCCATAGCCAATAACAAATTAATGTAACTTATTTTATTTGTGTTCATTCATATCTTATTTTACCTTAACATTTATTTATTTATGCATTTTTTTTTTATCTCTCCAGTTTTAAAGGATATTTTTGGTTACTGTCCTATAGTATACATTGGAATGATTTCAAACCTGTTCATCCCAATAATTATAAAGGAGTGCCTTGGAAATATGTGTTTACATCAATTGTGACCAAACCGTTTGAACTTAGACTAAGAGTCCTTACCTCACTGAGCTGTAGTATCAGCCTCTCAGTCTGACTGGAGAGGACTCTCCCTCCACATTATTGTAGAAACATATTCTTCTTATATCCGTTAGAGCAGCTAGCACGGCACCAGATTCTAATAACAACAGCGCTGGTACCGGTGCACCCTCCCTTTCTCCCTCGCTCCCTCGCATTTTGGCTGTGAGCTGCGGGCGCCAGATAAGCCAACATCCCCCATTTTCATCACTTACAGCGCCCATCGTACAGGGCAAATGAAACGTGTAACCGGGGTGAAAAGGGTGTTACATTTACTTAATTAAGAATATTGTTACATCAAGGCCGAAAATTAGGATGAGCCCCAACGGTCAAAATGTTTTTTTCCCTCCCAGAGCTGCCAGCGCAGCGACTCCCCAGATCTGGCGCCCTAGGCGAACATCTAGCCAGTGCTACGGGCCGGCCCTGAGTTCATATGCAACTCGCAAATATCTTTCTCTCTCTCTTCTCTCTCCTCTATTTTCTATTTTCTCTTTTCTCCTTTCTCTTCTCCCTTCTCTCTCTCCATCTCTCAATGTTGGTACGCAAATGCGCTTTGTTTCAAATGACCCGGTGCTCTTTTTTTGGCGGAGGTGCGCATGCGCACCAGTTATGTGCAGCCCTGGATATATCATATTTACATACCACTGCAAAAGGATGAGGTTGTATTTAAATACAAGAACCTGTTTTAATACGACTGTTTGCCATTTTGGATACCTTTGATCCTATATTATATAACCTAACAGAAAAAAATCCCTCATATTTATTTTCTTTGGTCCCTAACATTTCTGTTTTGAGACTGCACAAAGAATTGTTGCTGATTACTGGCAACTGATTATATTGATCCATTATCAGTAACTTAAAATGTATAGCCATGTATATTTACAGTTCAGGATTTGTATATAGTATATCCTAATTATATATTACATTTGGGAAAAAAACCACTCACATGGTTCCAGCCATTTCTTGTGGGACTCCCTCCCCTCCAGCCTGCCATGGATGCATGACGGGAATAGGTCTCCATGGCCTGTGTGTACGTTCTGTACATGAGACACAACCGACTCCCATTTTGCAACAATCTGGGCTCCTTGACCAGAAGGGGTCGACACCGCACACCAGTACATATGGTTGCTCACACTCTTTATCCATGGGCGAAGCACCTGACACTCCCGCTCATTGGACGCCGCAAGCAGTTTTTTGGAAAATCCTAGAAATATATAGAGGCACAAACAGATATTTGCATTAAATAAATAGTTTAAATCTAAAGGACATCAATATGTTCACAAACTTAGCACAGCTGTATAGACTACTTATCAGGTTCAGTATCTGCAAATAAAATGTAGAAAGTAAATATTTATCTATTTTACAAATACATAACCAAGCCACAAAACAATTACATGATTGCATTTATAATCCTACATGTGTCTACATTTATATCATATCTGTGTGTTAAGAATTCCATCACATATAATGGCGCGTTTCCACTGCAGCGGGTAGCCCCGTTTAAGCGTCCTTAACCGTCCTCAAGCGGCCAGGCCAGTTTTTGGTGGCCTTTCCATATAGCCTAGTACCGGCTAGCGGGTACTTTTTCCCTCTTTTTCCGGCCCCATAAAATCGTGGTTCTATCAGACCAGGGCCAGGGCTGAACTAGTGACGTCAACACTCTCGACTGCTGATTGGTCAGAGAGAATCGTCACAAGATCGCGCGCGAGTTCATCCCTAGCGTCGCATATATATTTAGAAGCAAGCTTGCAGCATTTTTATAAACAGCATTTTGTAAACGGATGAGCTACAAAAATGGCTACGTCTAATAAGAAAAGCACACCGTGGTCGACCGAGGAGGTGACGACGTTCCTTCATCTCATTGGGGATGATCAAATCCAGCGGGAGCTCGACGGAACAACTCGAAATGTGAACAAAAACAAAGCCGATCGCCCCGCCTACACTGCGTTGCTACCCCAGGTCCTAAACTGTAATGGAAATACGCCACGGCCTCGGACGGCCAGCGAGGCAGCCCGGGGCCTGAGCGAGGACGCTTAAACGGGGCTACCCCGTTGCAGTGGAAATGCGCCATAAGAGAGCTCAGAGAGCCAAGTGCTAAACATACTAAGAAATGTTTACTCAAGCGATGTATATGTCAATTAGTCAAATGTCAAATGCTGACAAACCTTTTGCTACATGCCAGATATCATAGAGGTGCTCAATGTGGGGGTAGGTCTCTCTGAGCCACTTGGCTATTTGCCCGTGTCGGTCGGTGACCATCGTGCCCACTGCAAGTCCATGCCGCTCAAGATGAGCCAGGGAGCGCTCCAACCCAGTTTTCTCCATATGGTAGCTACCACCACATTCATTGCTCTAAAACAGCAGAAAACAGATACATAGGTATTAGACAAATGTATACAATGCAAATATAACTACACATAGACCTGCAGTAAATGTAATAGATAACAGGTTTAATATGTAATAATCCAAACTAAATAATTTGAAATAATTATTGTCCTAAGTTAATATATTTTAATTCATTATGAAATTGGTATATACAATTGTATTATTTAAAACTAATTTGTGGATTACAGCACCTAGACATTTTGTAAATAGAATCATAGGAAACTACGAGAAAAACAATTATGCAAACCTAGCTGTGGTTTTATTCTATATCTATTTTGTCCATATGTCCAATGCAGCTGGTTTGAATTGGCCACACCATTGGCTAATTATTTGCAAAAATGTCAACAAATGTAATAATAGATATTTAAAAAATACACTTAATATCAGTGTTTTGCATATACAAAATATATCAGTCAAGTGATTTCAACCCTGCTCATAAACTTCTTCAGATACCGGTAACCTACCTGAACTAGCTGAACATCTATTACTACATTGGCATGCAGCTCCAACATGGTGTAACTCCCAAATGTTGCACAATGTCCCGGGCTATCGGCCCGGCCATCACCTCCCAGGACCAGGTCTCTTCCCTCTGCCTGAAATGTGCCAAGCAAGAATGTCTGTCTCATGTTCCATACTCGCTGGACAACTGGCAACAAAACACTTCTCTGGTGCCGGAAATATGTCCGTGAAGATATGGTCGCCAATGCCATGGTTCTCATAACCCGCAGAACCTTTCCTGCAGTGGCACCTGCCAACAAAATTGAAGCGGACAAGAGAATGTTGCCCGCTGGTGTGCTGCCGATGTAGGGTTGGCTGTTCCATGTCACTTTCTTGAAGCAAGATGCACATGACAACGTAATGACTAGGAGTGAGCCAATGACATTGTTGCATGTGGAAATGTCAACTGAACCACAGTCGGGGCAGTGGCACCAGCTGAGCAACCTCGTGAGGCAAGTTATGAAGACAATAAACTTCTTCTCCTTGTGGATGGGTGTGACAGGCTCATCCATATCCGGCTCACTGTTCCTCTGGTAGTCACCTTCTGATGATGAAAGGTCAGGTGACGAAGGTGGATGATATCCTGGTGATGAAGGTGGAGATGGAGATGATGATGATGATGGTGGAGGTGATACCTCTTTCTTTGGGGTGGGAATGATGTTGCATTGACTGCCAGTGTCTTGGAACAGCTTCCTCTCTATTGGAGTCCCTGAAAAGAGATTTCCAAATATGAATTATGATATGAAAAACCAATCATCAAACCATACCAGTAATATTTTTGCAAGAAGGTAATAGACAGTCCAGTTTACAGCAATACAAGCATGTGCAGATTATATGGAAAGTACTAGAGTGTGACTTATTTTGGAAAATGAGAATCCAAAACCTACAAGCACAAGGGTGACATTTACATTACAATTATTACATCAGGAATTATTCAAGTTACACGATTGCTAAACTGAATCGCGGCCAAAGTATTTGTTTTTACCTGAGTTTTCTCTCGTTTCTCGAAGTAGGCACTTCTGTGGCGTTTTGCTGGGGGGGTGGCGGTGGCAAAGTCTCCGGTGCCTTGATGGATTTGCGACGGCGTGGGAAAGAGAGTAGGCACTGCTGACGGCTTCAGAATCCGTTTTCGCGTTACATCTATCCCACTTCCAACCATCCATATAGGCCCTTCCTCGAAATCATCGGGCAGAAAGTGGGCACTGCATATGTAGGTCGTTCGGGGGTTCTTCACAGACCATTTGGCCCTTGTGTTCTGCACGTTTTTCTCCCATGTGCGCTGACGCTTGACATCTGTGGGAAAGCTATGGATGCTGATGTTTAGTTCGTCATTTGCTGTATTGGAACACCCAGACACAACGCATCGTCGAACCATTCTTACTGATGGCAACACACTTTGTCCGCGTTTGGATCTCACGCCGCACGGTGAAGTGTTCCAGCATTGACGTCACTTCCGGCTTCCCCCCAAACCTCAAAATGAGTCGAAGGAATTTTCCCGCGATGTTCGAAATTATTGATATTTATCGAAACGGTATCGCTTTTTCTTTTTTAAACTGACGGTTCGAGATTACTAGTAGCCCACTATTTCATTGCACAACAGTTGTTGGGTGGCTGTCACAGGCTCTTTAAAAGAAGAATCGGAAAACAGAACTGAGTGCCGTCGCCATGAGGAGGATTATGATGATGAGGACGACGGGGAGGAGCTCAGGTTACGAGCAGACCGATCCGACCTGTGGAATGAGCCGCCATTGGGGAGAAGAGCACCACACTTCCGTAGAGACCCCAAGTTAATGCCACTCACTCCTGAAGATGATATTGAGCACTTTATGACAACGTTTGAAAGAATGGCCACTGTCTGCCTATGGCCCGAAAGAAGATTGGGCAATTCAGCTTGTGCCACTGCTCACAGGTAAAGCATGCAGTGCCTTTGTTTTCATGGTTGTATACTGTGTGGGTGATGGAGGACAGCCATGTGGTCACAGTGGTTGAGAAAATAAAACAGTTTTCTGTGGAAAAACACCAACCTGCCTGCTTCTTCTATTTGTCCTCCATGGCTGCTCGGGCATTCTAACAAGTGGACACCACTTGTTAGAAGTTGGTAAGGTGAAATAATTGCTTTTTGTCATGGCTCGTTGGTCTAGGGCAGGGGTGGGGAACCTCCGGCCCCTGGGCCGTATACGGCCCGCGAGACCATTTGGTGTGGCCCTCGAGGTAATTTATAAACACACGCAAAAAAGAAAACAATTAAAGAAATCTAAACCGAAAAATAATTAAACAAGTGAGTGCCTGTTTTTCCTGGCCAAGGTCAGGGTCCTTGAACACAACACGAGCCTAACGTGTCATCACGTGGTATATGTCTTGTCTGACAGGGGTGTAGTTCTGACGGAGAGCACCAGAACGCAGCTCCGCTCCGGCTCCTCCAAAAATTGCAGTACCCCATAAGGAGCCGTACACATGCTGCAGTTTTGCGTGGCTGTGTCTTTAGCTGAAAGCCCAGTGGCGATCTGTCATACTGATCATACAGTCAATAACTTTGTTGTTATTAGCATCTGGTTAGCTAGCTATGCTAACGAATATAAGAAGCTTTTTCTACAACCAGTGAGGTAAAGGCACATCTTTATATGATCATTATAGTTATACAAAAATAAGAGAATTCATTTCATTTCATTTCAAACCTTTATTTATACAGATAAATCCCATTGAGATCATTGATCTCTTTTTCAAGGGAGACCTGCTCAAGTAGTTCCACATGAAACATAAAAACATAATTAGAACAACAAAAAGACATCATACAGCATCATTTACATAATTATCCACATAAACAGGTACCAATAGCTTCCGATTGAGTAGCATCCAACCGAGCTTTAAAAACATTTAGTGGCACCAGATTGTTCAGTTTCCATTTAATTTGCAGACTATTCCAAGACAGAGGAGCTGCGCATCTAAAAGCTGTCTTCCCCTAGCAGTTGTAATAAAAGTAAACGGGTATAAAATACTATATGACAGTAAAAAAAAGTTGTTATTAATAAACAAGAATACAGTTTGAAAGGAGAGTGATTTGTAAAATATCCATAAAGAAAAAGAAATCTGCTTACAGTTGTGTTTCATATGGGTGTTGAGAGATGTATCCATAGATCTCCTAATGTTGCTCTCAAAGTGCACCAGATTGATGCTTTTAACTTCAACATTTAAAAACAAATCTTCCCGGGGGAGCATGCCCCCGGACCCCCCTAGAGGAGGTTAGGTCCCCCCCCCACTTAAATCATGTTCACGTGGAAGAGGTTGCTTTTTCTTTGCACAGCATGAAAGAAAGGTGAAATGAGTGGGCTCTGATTTTAGTTTTTTTAAGCAGCCGTCAATAAGTTGTACGGCCCTCGGAGGATGTTGAAAACATTGAAATGGCCCTTGAGAGGAAAAATGTTCCCCACCCCTGGTCTAGGGGTATGATTCTCGCTTTGGGTGCGAGAGGTCCCGGGTTCAAATCCCGGACGAGCCCAGGATGTCTTCAAAGATGAGGAACAGGTTAAGTTTAGGTAGCAAAAATAGTTTGTTGGAAGCAATGTGTACTTCACAATTTGAACTGCTAGAAATCTAGTGATGAGTTGGGGCAAATAATGATCAAAGCTCATCTTCTGTGAAGAGAAGCCATACATGTTTATCCAAGCTGTGTTCATTGAGGACAAAGTGCAATTATTGGAAAAGTGTTTTGCATTGTCATTTAAGCAGGCTGTCGTGGGGAAGACAGAAAAATGGCCTTTCGTCATGGCTCGTTGGTCTAGGGCAGGGGTGCCCAACCACTCGATCGCGATCGACCCCAGTCGATCGCGAGATGTGTCTAAAAATAGAACAACAATATTCTGTTTTATCGTTAATGTCCTATAACATAATCTTCCTGTGCCAGAATAATGCACTTGAACGCATCAAAGCTTTGTGATTGGCCGGCTAGACCCCATGTGTCGGGGCGTGGCTGGTCGGCAGTGGGCACTATTTCGCTGAGGTTGTCCGTGTCAACAACAGGAGTGACAGTCCGCACACACACAAGACCGCAATTATGGCAGAAGCAAAAAAGCCCAAAATATATCATTTTCACTCCGAGTGGGAGGATGATTATTTTTGTATCTATTCCAATTCAAAGTCCATCTGTCTCATCTGCAATGCGAGCGTGGCTTTATCGAAGAAGGGTAATTTAGGAGCGGCATTTCAAAACAGTGCACAAACGCTACGAGACGGAATTCCCTCCTAATTCTGCCCTACGCTCCCAAAAGGGGAGGGGCCTGAAAGGACAGCTAAATGCACAGCAGTCCATTTTCACCAGGCCCAACAACAAGAGCAAGGCTGCTACCATAGCATCTTATCGTGCCGACGCGCTTTTGGGGGACAGTAAAAATAACAGTAGCATTTCAACAGGTTTTTGATATGATAAAAACTCAAGTTAGATACCGTTATTAATCAGCTGTAAGTTTTAGTTTGTTTGAACTTATTCATTATAATTATTGTACAAAATGGTATAAGAATGCAAACTTAAATTGATTATAGTCTATTATCAATTCAGGTTAAGAAACTAGTGTTGCTTGCATCCTATTTTAGAGGCATTTCTTTTTATACTCTACTAAAATGCAACAAAAAAAGGGTTTGATTCTATTAATTTTGTCTTTTTTATTGCACTTTGGCAACAGATTCCTGTGTAGCTTCAGATCTGAGTTGTCTTATTAGTAAGCCTAATTTTAATGGCAAAGAAAGGGTTCAGAGTCTTTTCTTTTTTCCTGTGTCATATGTGGCAGCACTGTTCAATGTTTCTTGAAAACATTACCCACTGTAGTACGTGACGTGTGAATAAACTCCAACTCTGTATCAACAACACTGTTGTGTAACTTCAGTTAAATACTTGTATGTGTGTAGATTAGAAAGAGCAGGTAAGATAAAGGATCTGCAGTATTTTATGGAGTATTAATTGTACAAAAGTCAGTTTTATACAAGTAGAAGTGTGTATTTACCTGGTAGTTTACCTGGTCAGTAATGGCTACGTCTCTCTATTTGGACAGGTAGATCTCGGCAGACTGGCAACTTTAAAAGTAGCTCTCGGTTCAAAAAAGGTTGGGCACCCCTGGTCTAGGGGTATGATTCTCGCTTAGGATGCGAGAGGTCCCGGGTTCAAATCCCGGACTAGCCCACGACATCTACAACAGGTTTAGTTTAGGTATCAACAATTGTTCTTTTTAAGCAATGTCTACTTCACAATTTGACCAATCCTGTGCCCTAATAGAAACCTAGTGTTTAGTAGGGTCACAAACTGACCAAGACTCATCTTCTGAGTAGAGAAGCCATGCATTTTCATCCAAGCTTTGTTTATTGAGGCATAATGCAATGAATGGAAAAGTGTTTTGCGATTTCATTTAAGCAGGCTAGGTAAGGTGAAATAATTGCTTTTTGTCATGGCTCGTTGGTCTAGGGGTATGATTCTCGCTTTGGGTGCGAGAGGTCCCGGGTTCAAATCCCGGACGAGCCCTGGATGTCTTCAAAGATGAGGAACAGGTTAAGTTTAGGTAGCAAAAAAAGTTTGTTGGAAGCAATGTGGACTTCACAATTTGACCAATACTGTGCATAGCTAGAAATCTAGTGATGAGTTGGGACAAATAATGATCAAAGCTCATCTTCTGAAGCCATACATTTTTATCCAAGCTGTGTTCATTAAGTGCAATTCATGGAAATGTGTTTTACATTGTCATTTAAGCAGGCTGTCGTGCGGAAGAGAGAAAAATTCCCTTTTGTCATGGCTCGTTGGTCTAGGGGTATGATTCTCGCTTTGGGTGCGAGAGGTCCCGGGTTCAAATCCCGGACGAGCCCACGACATCTACAACAGTTTTAGTTTAGGTATCAAAAATGGTTCTTTTTAAGCAATGTCTACTTCACAATTTGACCAATCCTGTGCCCTGCTGGAAACCTAGTGTTTAGTAGGGGCACAAACTGACCAAGGCTCATCTTCTGTGTTGAGAACCCATACATTTGTATCCAAGCTGTGTTCATTGAGGACAAAGTGCAATTATTGGAAAAGTGTTTTGCATTGTCATTTAAGCAGGCTGTCGTGGGGAAGACAGAAAAATGGCCTTTCGTCATGGCTCGTTGGTCTAGGGCAGGGGTACTCAAATACAAATCTTAAAGGTCCAAAATAAATGTTTCAATAAGACAAAGGTCCGTTTATTACGGTCATTCAAACTTTTAAACAATTGCAACAAGATTCTTAACACGAGGTTGCAAAAACAAAAATAATCTGTATGCAGCAGTTTTCATTGTTATTGTGTCTGTGCTTGACCCCTCAGAGTCGCAGTGTAAGAGCTGCACAGTTATGAATAAAGGCAGCTGCACCCTCTTTCATTCAGCATTCCCATTATTGCTTTATAAATGTATTCCCCCCTTGTGTGTCCACTGAGGTTCGTCAGGCCCAACACATCTTCAACAAACTCCCCCTTTGCCTCATAACAACTCACAAACACCAGCAAATGAGCATTGTCAGTGGTGTCAGTGGACTCACCCACAGCTAAGGAAATGCACTGTGCATTTTTTATTCCATCATAAAGCTGATGAATCAAATCACCAGCCAGTATTTCTGTTCTTCTGGTTGCTGTGGAATCTGAGAGGGGATTTGCTTGATTTGACCTGTTATTTCCTCTTTTTGTTTGCCTTCAACATGGTCTCCATCACTTCAGTCATGCATTCTTTTATACTTCAGTTATTATCCAGTGGAAAGCCCTTACCTACTGGCCTAGTTCAATCAAAGTGGTTACTTTTTTTTGGCTGGGCAGTGTAGTTTTACACACCGTCTGATTTGACTTTCTCAGGACTTAAAACAGTTTTTTGGGGGCAGACCCCCTCAAAGAAAACAATATATTTACACACGTAAGGTCATCATCTTAATAGTTGTGTATGCTCATCCGTGAGCAGAGCATCAAGTTGACATGTCTATTACAGCTGAATGCGGCGATTACCATTTTGTTCAGCAAAACGCCTCACAAACGTATTAAGATCAACAGCTTCAGTACGTTTTGATTCAATGCTGAGTACAGCCAAACTGACAGCCTATTCTCTGTCATTGTAGACCGCAAATACCTCATTCCTTCAGCGCTTGGGTCCGAATGCTTCTCGTTTTGCGCCGTCCAGTTCAAAATGAAATGGCCGCCAATCGTATGTCCACGCTCGCGCCAGGACCGGGGGAGGGGTTACATGACGTGCATCTTGTGCTGCATTCACTTGCACTCGGACATTAGAGACTTTCTCTCATAAATGTCCGATGAGCCACAACTTTTCTTTCAAAACAAAGCTGCCAACTGGAGTGGCAAGGCCTATTTTTAGGGTGTCAGTTGCCACCCCAGTAGGTGAAACTAGGCTACTAGCTACAGTACAGATGGAACTAGATGAGCTGTTAACTCTCGCTCTGAATTTTTTTTTTTTAATTCTCTCTCTGATTTAGACAGGTTGAAAGAGACACACATTTTTCCCACCCGCATTCCGCGAAGACCCGCCCTACTGTGCCTCTGATTCGCAGATTGTTTGGGGGGAAAAAACGCTGACTGGATGCTGAATGTGATTGGACCAAAGCGTTGACACACACAGGTGGAACACAGTGGAACAGTCAGACATGCAGAGCGCTGTTTGCAGTGGAGATAGCGGAGAATTTTGACTCGTTGCGAATGCGTTGTGGCGATGTCTCACATATAATACAGAGAGATAATACATATGAAAAGTATAATTTGCTCAGAGTCCGGAGACAGTGGTGGTTCGGTCCGGATCCGGACCGGAGTCCGTAGTTTGAGGATGCCTGGTCTAGGGGTATGATTCTCGCTTAGGATGCGAGAGGTCCCGGGTGCAAATCCCGGACGAGCCCACGACATCTACAACAGGTTTAGTTTAGGTATCAACAATTGTTCTTTTTAAGCAATGTCTACTTCACAATTTGACCAATCCTGTGCCCTAATAGAAACCTAGTGTTTAGTAGGGTCACAAACTGACCAAGACTCATCATCTGTGTAGAGAAGCCATGCATTTTCATCCAAGCTTTGTTTATTGAGGCATAATGCAATGAATGGAAAAGTGTTTTGCGATTTCATTTAAGCAGGCTATCGTTGGTAAGGTGAAATAATTGCTTTTTGTCGTGGCTCGTTGGTCTAGGGGTATGATTCTCGCTTTGGGTGCGAGAGGTCCCGGGTTCAAATCCCGGACGAGCCCTGGATGTCTTCAAAGATGAGGAACAGGTTAAGTTTAGGTAGCAAAAAAAGTTTGTTGGAAGCAATGTGCACTTCACAATTTGACCAATACTGTGCCGTGCTGGAAATCTAGTGATGAGTTGGGGCAAATAATGATCAAAGCTCATCTACTGTGTAGAGAAGCCATACATTTATATCCAAGCTGTGTTCATTGAGGACAAAGTGCAATTAATGGAAAAGTGTTTTGCATTGTCATTTAAGCAGGCGTGCGTTATATTTTATTCCTCCATGGTTGTATCTATCTGTATAATGTGTTCTTGGAATGGTTGTAAAACAATGTCTTATGTGAAATGTCACTGCAATACATATTTAATCATGTGCTACCTGTTATTGTAGCCACCTTGGTCCAAGGCACAGTGAAGTGGTTCAATGTGCGTAATGGATATGGCTTCATAAACAGGTATTGTGTTTCCTCAACATAATGTTGTCTGCATTATTTTACAATTTTAGTGCATCTTCAAGTTTTCTGTAACGGTCCTCAATAATTCCAAAGCTAATCAGGTTCTATTTCTCACAGAAATGATACCAAAGAAGATGTGTTCGTACATCAGGTAAGGTAAAGGGCCTTTTTGAATTAATGTACATGGCTTTATTTGGAACCATTGTTTGATGTTAAATCTGTCTCCTCAGACCGCGATCAAGAAAAACAACCCCAGGAAGTTCCTCCGCAGTGTCGGAGACGGGGAGGTAGTAGAGTTTGATGTGATTGAAGGCGCCAAGGTGAGAATCTCGGGATCCATTTTGTAGTATGGCATTATGACAACAGTTTAAGATGTGTTGATTTCTATACATTTCCCATTGCCTTGGTGTCCCACAGGGCTCAGAAGCAGCCAATGTAACCGGTCCGGGCGGTGTTCCTGTCAAAGGTAGCCGCTACGCACCCAACAAACGCCGCTTCCGTCGAAGGTTCTTCCCCAGGAGCCCAAGGCCTGATGACGAGAAAACAGCTGAGGGCCAGTCCTCTGCTGTTGAGGGCGAGAAAACGATGCAGTCAGGAGAAAACGATGCAGGGAAACCTCAGCAGCGCCGCCGGAGGCACAAGAGGTAAGCTGAAAAGAGAAGGGTTAGCACAAGGGAAAACGACCACAACCTTTTTTTGACAAAATCCCAAAGTTCAATAAGTGTCTAGCAGCTTTTTTATTAAACACAGTTTTGGCTTCTTCATCTTTCAGGGTGAGGCTGGAGAACAGAAGAACGGAGTGGCAGAGGGCGACGAGACACCGCGACCTCAACAGCGCAGATTCTGGCACCCGTACCGCAGGTGACATGACGTTTTCATTTTTATGTTTGTGAATTACAGAGCTGAAAAGCTTGACTTCCATGTCCTCTGTCACAGACTGTTCCCTCCTCGCCCACCAGCTGCGCAGGCTACAGACGGTGAGCAGGCTACTCCAGAAAAGAGCCAGGAGCAAGAAGAAGTGAAGCATCCGGAGGCCTCTGAGAGCCCCCAGACCAACGGAGAAGCAGCTGAGGACCAGAAGGAACAACGCCGCCAGACTAGACGCCGTAGGACGAGGAACTCCGAGTCCTCGACCTCGAAAGTGAGTGTTAAAAGTATCAAGTGAGATATGAGCTAATTGTAAATTTAGAGTTCATAAATTCAACTCTACTTGCAAGTGCAGAGTAAATGCAACACATACAAATGAGCTTTAAAGGTTTTTTTAAATGTATTTTACATGATAAAGTATGTTCTCCACCTTGCCTCAAGTCAAACAAAATTGTCCTCAAACAGGAAGTGATGTCATCAGTGTAGTTGACAGCGCAGTGTTTTACAATATGGGCTGATGCTGCACCACTAAATCAATGATCACTTTTGCTTCAATGCTGTCATGTGACCTTGTGGTCTAATGGCGCATTTCCATGGTAGCGGGTAGCCCCGTTTAAGCGTCCTTAAATCGTCCTCAAGCGGCCAGGCCAGTTTTTGGTGGCCTTTCCATTAGTGCTGTAGCGACGCGTCGACGACTTCAAAATATCGTCGACGACATATTTCCGCATCGACGCGTCGCTACACACACGTGGGTCACCCAAAGCAACAAGCAGTTCGCAATCGCACTTCAAACACAATGGAGACTGAAACGGCTACCACCTCCTCCTCACAGGATTGCGCACGAAGCCCCCAAACGAAAACATCTCGCCCTAGGTCTTCAAAAGCATGGGAATATTTTAAAGTTAGTCCAAAACGCAAAGATATTTATATATTTATATCTCACTGAGACTGCTGCATAGCCTAGCAGAAGCTAGCTGTGGTGGCTACCATTAGCAGCTAGCATTTGCTCTCCGATTTTTACATAAAATGGAATTATGGATTATAAATCCAATCATTTTTTTATACATAGACGTTAAAAACCTATGGATTAACCGATTCAGCCGCGTTTTTTCTCATTTTAATGCCATTGAACACGTCTTTTGATCAGATTGACAGCTACGGTGGTGAGACGATCTCCCTAGAAGCTCTGTGAAGGTACGTGTTGTGATGACTGTATTTGCTTCCCCTGTCGCGAGTCCGGATCACTCAGTGATGATACTATATACCTACATAATCTGTGGAGTCTCAGCTTTAATCGGATATATTGTATGTGCAGCTACGATAAGTAATAAGGGTACTTTTATCTTGAGTTCTGTGCCAATGTCCGTTAGCATTTTTCGCTCAGGGGTCATTTAGATGCTTCTTATGAGACTTGTTTTGTTTTGGTAAACATGGTTTGTATCGTCAGTTAGCTGAGATTATTTCCGTTAATCTGGTATAACCCATTAATAGGTTCTTAAATATTAAGATCCCCTGAGACACAGTATCGTGAAACATTTTTTTTTTACATTACGTTTTTTATACATTACGTTTTTTATGAATTGAACAACAGAAAAATAATCGTTAGATTAGTCGACTAATCGATCAAATATTCGCCCGATTAATCGTTTTCAAAATAATCGTTTCCCCCCAGCACTACTTTCCATATAGCGTAGCACCGGCTAGCGGGTACTTTTTCCCTCTTTTTCTGGCCCCATAAAATCGTGGTTCCATCTGGCCAGGGCTGAACTAGTGACGTCAACACTCTCGACTGCTGATTGGTCAGAGAGAGGATCGTCACAAGATCGCGCGCGAGATCATCCCTAGCGGCGCATATATCTAGAAGCAAGCGTGCAGCATTTTTATACACAGCATTTTTGTAAACGGAGGAGCTACAAAAATGGCAACGTCAAAGAAAAGCACACCGTGGTCGACCGAGGAGGTGACGACGTTCCTACATCTCATTAGGCGCATTCACACGGCGGTACTTTTCCCACAAAGGTTCATGTGAACTCTTTTATCGCGTTCACACCAAAAAGAGCCGGTACTAAAATTAGTTCATGTGAACCTTTTTACCCCCACGAAAGTCCCTGCTCTCTAGCAGGGACTTTCGTGCGGCTCTCTTGTGAGAAAAGAGCTATATTTCTGATTGGCTGGGCGGATTGCAAACCACGCCCCGTAAAACTCCCAAAAAGTTTTGTGAAGCTGCCATTTTATTATCCTCGCATTAGCATTATTAGCATTAGCCCAGCGCAGAAACGCAGAGAGACTAGCCATTTTATGTTGCCATTGTGAATATAGTGGAACCTCAACCCGCGTTTTTCTCTGTGACTTTGGGAGCAAAGCTGGCAGATGTAAGGTTTAAACAATGTTGTTTTCAGAGAAGTCAACCTTCTTGCCTGTTCAACAGTGCGGTCATGTAAGTTGTGATAGTGCCGCTTTAAGCTGTAACTCCGAGTGGTCCTGAAGTCACAACCTTTCATCTCACAGACGTAGGGCTTAGCACAGGCCAATGATTCTTTAACATCATCTGATACTTTTTCAGTTTTTACCTTTTCATCTGGCACTTGTAGGGCCCTCTTCCGAAGCAGCACAACAGGAGGCTTTGCCATGATGGCCTGATGGAGAGATGTGTTGTATTCTTTTGACTCTAGGTTGGACTCAGGGGGCTCTATTGGCACACTGTGAGGAGATAATGAATTCAGGTTCAGTTTACTGAGCCCAATAGGGACTTCACTCAGATCATCATTTTTAGTTTGAAAGCTTGGAGAGTTTATTTCGTTGATTTGGGGTTCAGTATCTTCTTTTCTTTCTTCATCTGCCTTCATGGGTTGAAATGGAGTTAAGTGCTCCTCTTTTCCCTCTTCCTCACAGTCAGGCTCAGTTTCAGTCTTCATCCCTTTGGACTTTGAGCCCGTCTTTGTCATGTTTGTGTTCTTTGTTCTCCAGTTTGAGGTGTTCTGGGTGGGCACACTTAAGATGCCTCTGGACATCTCTGGCTCTGGAGAAAGTCATGCCACATTTCTCAAAACCACAAGTAAACTTGCTTCCATCAAAACACACAGCCACCAGGGTCATTGCTGTTTTTGCGCTCCTTACCATCAGGTGATTGCAAAGAGGAGGCACAACTTGTTGAGGAAGAGTTTAGGACATCTCCATTTTCAGTCTCTGCTGCATGACTTGACTTATTAAGGCGGTTTGACACTTCAGTAGTAAGCGTCTTAAGAAGTTTCTGCCTCGCCTTCCTCTGGGCCTCAAAGTCTTTTTCAGAGAAGGTGATGTTGTGTGTGGATAAATGGTTTATGAATTCTTTTTTGGATAGATAGTATTTACTACAGTCAGCGCTTGGGCATGTAAAGGCTGCATCTCTGAAATGCTGTGCTTCATGGTGGTTAAAAAGTTCTCTTACCAGAGACCTGGACATCACTTTCACCATGTTGTGCCGCCTGTTGAGATCCTTCTTTTGAAGGAATGCTTGCTCCTTTGTTTGAAAGACTAACACAAATAAAACATGCACATTAGGGTCCATTTAAAAAAGGTACACTTGTTCAAATATAAAATGTGCTAAAACAATGCAAATGTAATCTACAGGCCATATTGCCCGGCCCCTAATGATTTTGATTTGTGAGAATATATAAATAATACTTGCGTAATAGTGTATTTGTTAATGTAATACATTTTTCTCAAATACAAATAAAGATTTGACCACTAACAAACGCATCTGCAATAACGCACACAAATTTCATTTCCAGTGCGAAATAAGGTGACGTGAAGGGGCCCTGACTGATCGTTAATATGTGACGTGAAGGGGCCCTGACTGATCGTTAATATGTGCCGAGTGAGAATGTGTTGGTTTGGCCCGTAACCCGCGCTTTTATAAACATGTTATCGAAATGTGCCGGCCGAGAAAGCCTGTATTGTGCTTGTGCGGGAGCCTGTCTGCAGTTCGCTTTGCGCCGGAACAGACAGACAGCTGACTGCATTCACCCCCCACCCCTCAAAAATAATAACTAATCAGATATACACGATTAAGGTGAATTACATATTTGGAAATCAAAATGGCGAAATTCGCCCAAAAGCGACCATTTTGTGGGTGTTTTATACTTGCAAAATAGTTTTGAGTTGCATTTCTTACATTTACATTAAACATTTACTCACGGATTATTTATCTGGTCACAGAAATATTTTTAAGGCAAATCTCCATCCATATCAGTGTAACTTGAAACCTACACAAGTCTGGTTTAACTTATTGAGAGATGGACGAACACTTTACCTTGAGATAAGCCCCGTGTTTCAGAGGTTAGCTTAGCAACTAGCGTAGTCATTGAATGTAGTTAGCTAAACAGCGTAATTCAGTAAATATACCAGACGGCCAGCCCACACTTAATTTACCAAACACTTTTCTTTAGACTAGTTTAAAACATGAAAATGATCTTACCTTAAATAGTTGTACAATTGTGTAATTGTCTCTCCGGTTTTCTCGTCGTCCTCTTGACCTCATGCGTGTTTCGGTAGACTGGTCCGATGATGCATTCAGTGTCAATACGAGAGTACAAAACTGAGCGACACGTGTCCATTGTAAAATGTGAAATTATTCAAAAATGCCACACGAGGAGGAAGTCGCTCTTAATGAAAATCTTGACTGTATTTAGACATTTTAAAACGATGTTTAATCTTGAAATAATGACTCCGACGTGAGGCACTCTAGCAGTCTTGCACATTCATGTTGAACTAAAAGAGGTGAAGTTGTAATTCCCATTCCCCGTGAATGCAACATTAATAATACTGTTTGCAAAGTGTGCAAAGCATGGCGCAAACTAAGCGTGCAACTTGCAGCTGCAGCACCTCCCCCACTCTGTCCAAGCTGTGAACTATCTCTGCACTAGAGCAGAGCATATATTTGAGCAATGTAACTGTATATAATACTGATAAAGTAGAAGAAAACAACTATTTGATTCTACTTTTCATTTTTAAATATGAATTATACAATATTAATATTACATATATTAAAATGAAAACCCATTGCAATGTGATGCTATTCCTATAGAGCTGCATGCTTCTGCCTTTCTGCAAGAGTTCCCTGTAGCTTTGACAATAAATATCATGGAAATCCGGATATTTAAAAATATATGTTTAGCACAGTTAACAATCTTTCAAAGGGAACATTTTTCTGCGTGAGTTTGAGGTGATAGTGAATCAAAAATGGTTTTATCATTAGGCCTCTATTATTATGCATCACATCGGTCTACGGCTCTGTGCATATCCCTGAAGATAGATAATCCTATGCTCAGTGTGTTAACCATGGATAAATCCAAAATAAGAAAAGGATTTGGAAACATAGTGCCGAAAAGGGTTTCTGGATAGCGATAGCCATGCAGTAGGTCTCTCTAATCAAGAACACTGTTGCATCTACCGTTTTTTACCGGCGTATTTTTCACTTTGATCTAACTTGTGTTTGCCTGATATCACAACATGTTTAGCCTAAGGATTGATAACTGCTGATAGCCAGTGTTAAATAACAACTGTTAAGACTGTTAAGCCTTGTTTCCACATACGTGTGTACACGGAGGAGCACCAACCAGAAGTCCATTCATTCCTATGGAAATCTCCGTGATATCCGATGTGCCTGCGAAACACTTATTGAATCACATAATCTTGCAGGCCAGAGTAGCTCGAGTGATTCAACAAAAGTAATAAAGAAGGGTAAAAATGGAAATATTTGTAGATATTTGCAGAGAACTGAACAAGAGGAAAGGAGCAAGGGAATGAAAGATGAGAAGACTTCATATCCTTCGGTGGCTTCCTCTGCTTAATGGTGGAGAGACCAGGAGGGTCACTGGAGAAAGAAAGGAGATGAAGACATAAGTGAAGGCGAAGAAGAGATGAATGTGAGGGATGAAGATGAAGTGACAGACTCAGAAAAAGGGACAGAGGCAGGGATAGATGAGGAGGCAGACTTCTGTTTAATTTATCTTAAAGTAGGCCTACACATACCAATGTATTGTTACACCTCTTCATAAAAGTGATTTTCTTTATCTTAACAAGTAAAAATACCAAAATATGTCAACAGTTCTCTTTATTGTTTTTCTATAATTGTATAAATGCGATAAAGTATATTTTTTGCACATATGGTATAACTATATGTTTTAAGCTGTGCTAACAAATTGATTTTGTGGCTCCAGACAAATTGTATGGAAGAGAGGGCAAATTGGCTCTTTTGATAGTATAGGTTGCAGACTCCTGCTATGCCATTCTATGCAATTCCTAAGAGGAAATTCAGGGACAGTGTTTCTCTGTCCTTGCTCTTCTGTAGTCCAAATGGGCAAAACAATTTGCACAAAAACATTTGCTGCAACTGATGGCAAAGGTGGCAGCACCTCTAAACATCTGGCTAATCCTTAACAAAAGCCCCTGGAATGTGAACTCCTAAACACTAGCAGTATATATATATATACTCCTAAACACTAGCAGTATATATATATATATATACATATATACTCCTAAACACTAGCAGTATATATATATATATATAGCAGTATATATAGGAGCTATTGCAGTGCTTAAGAAGTACTGAGGGTGGTTTTAATATTTCTCATAAAAGGGCATACTTAGCATTTCAGTAGATGTTAACAGTATTCTTATCTGGTGTGTCTAACAGAATAATGATCTTACTGTGAGGCATGGTCATTTTTCAGTGACACAAATATGAAGAATTAATATAAAATATCATCTGTATTTTGACAATAGAGAACATGTGTGCATATTTCTGTATTTTCCTATACACTGAATGTGTGTTTTTGTAATCATTCCAGTTGCCTCCCAACTACTGAAACTACTGAAACTATCTACATGTGTGATCTGAATGAGTGATTTATTTGTATATACTTTAAACTTATATTTCTGTTTAAACTTTAATGGTTTACTTTATAACTTAAGTATTTGTAAAGTTCTTTTACTTTAATTATAGTATTAATCTCACTGATCAATGTGATTTATTCTCTAAATCAGGCCTGATTATCAGAGTTTTTGAGCAGCAGAATATTGTGGTGTCTGTTGGAGACTTTCCCGCGCTTTTTGATGGCCCATCGGGGGAGGGGCTGCCTCCCCCCTCTGCACCTGCAAAGTGCATGCTGCTGCAAAGTGCATGCTGCTGTATGGCTGCTACACATACAGTCTATGCTGCTACAGCAGTTTTTTTTAAATGATAATACATTGATTTACAAGTATATAATGTAGTATAATATTTGATAATGATAAGGATTCAACCCAGAATTATCTTATTTGTGCTGTGCTCTGTTGTAGTCAGTGGCGAGCCGTCAGGGCCCTCTATGCCCTCTGTGAGGGCCTAAGATATTCTAAAAAATAATATTTGAAAATATAAAAACAAAAATGTTTTTTATATTCTTTTGTTGTTACATTTTTCATTAGTTTTACCAAAATAACTTGATTTAATTGTATTTAAAATAATATTTCCAAAGAAATAAATCCTTCGAATCTGCCTGTTCAGTTTCTGTTGGAATGTGAAGGGTTAAATGCCGTCTCTGCGAGTTATGTGAAGACGGGAGGGCTTGTTTGTCCCTCTCTACATTCACAGAGGGCCCGCTATAGTAACTCAACGAGAGAGTAATGTCAAATGACAGTACAATTGACCAATCATATCTTCCCTCTAAATGGGCGGCCTTTATTTTTGCGGACTTTATGACAAGTTCCGCCCGCTGTGAAGTCTATGCAAGTGGTGCAGTCATAGGCTGCTTCTCAGGTCGATTAAATGAAATCCTTGCTTCCCTCACTTGCGTAGTTTCCCTGCGTTTAGTCCCTCCCACCAGGGAAGCATGGAGGGACGCAAGGAAACGATAGTTACGGCTGTAACTACGGTTCTATGAGTCCCGGATGACCGCCAGAGGCGGTGCTTTCAGCACTGGATATGTCCATCGCTCGCATGCGCAGCTCGAGTACCAATACCAACAAAGTCACCTGTGACCCACGTGACACCGGCTATATCAGCCGGTGTCGTCAGAGGATCTGTTTTCCCAGAATCTTCTCGCGAGCACACAAGAATTCTGAGTGACAGGGAACTCTGGCGGTCATCCGGGGACTCATAGAACCGTAGTTACAGCCGTAACTATCGTTCTATTTCGTCCCTACTGACCGCCAGAGGCGGTGCTTTCAGCACTGGATGACTTATACCAACAATGTCATGAAGAATCCAAGCCCTTGCTCACCACTGGAAACAGCGGAGCTCGGCAAAAGGACCACGCCCAAAGAATGGGGAGTGGCGACATTGACCTGATGACAACTGGAGAATGTGCCAGAAGAGACCCACGACGCCGCGGCGTAGATGGTCTCCAGGGGCACCACCCTCAGGGCAGCCCAAGATGTTGAGATGCTCCTTGTAGAGTGGCATCTCAGCCTGATGGCAGGGGGCGGCCACTGGCCCCGTAAGCCTGTGAGATGGTATCGACAACCCAGTGGGGCAGCCACTAGTTAGAGGGCATAACCTCCTTTAGTGCCGCAAGGGCAAAATCAAGAGTTGCTCCTACTACCGTATACAGGCAGTAGCCTTGATATACGCCCTTTGGGCACCCCCAGGGCACAGCAACTTCGACGTGCCGTACTCCTGAATGTCAAAGCGTGCCAGCTGGGCAGGCTGATTGAAGTGGGTTTGTGGAAGGACCCCGGGCCGGAATGCCACATTTGCCCAAAGGGCAACGCCTGAGAGTCCCACCTCGGGCATGTATTGTTTATGGAGAGGACATGCAACTCCCCGACTCGCTTCCCTGAGGCTATGGCAAGCAGAAATGCTGCCTTCGTGGGCAGCCACCTAAGCCCCACCTGGGCCAGGGTCTCGAAGGGAGGAGATGATAGGGCATCCGGCAGCAGGGGAAGGTCCCAAGCCGGAGCCCTCGGGGTGCTAGGGGGACGCTGCCGTAAAGCCCCTCTCATAAAGAGGGACACCGACCTGTGGCACCCCGCCGTGGCGCCGTCGACCCGAACATGTCGGGCAGAAATCGCAGCCACATAAATTCAGAGTGGAGTGAGAACGTCCACCATCTAGAAGGGACTGTTGTCTAAGCAACAACGTACATGCTGTCCCCAAGGAACACACACATTCTTGCCTTTGACTGTCAATTAGACCCAGCCGAAGGCTAGGGGCCGGAGCTGCGGTCCGTACCCCTGGGTTAAGGTGAAAACCACCCAAGGGACGGAAGTACAGACCGCCCAGTAACTGAGCTGCTGCTGGGAAAGCAGCCGACGACCGGGGGGGCACTGGGGCACGAGGCCGTCTAGAAGGCGGGCGACTTGGGGCACGAAAGTCATTGGGTCGCGCCGCTAAGACCTCTGCAGACCACCCCTGTAATCCGGCGGCTGAGTGCGGCTGCTAGAGCGGCCCCTGGGCCTGCTGGGAGTGGGCACAGGTCTGCGAAGACCCGAGAGCTGCTGCCTGGTCTGCCTAGCTTGGGCGGCACGCTCCAGTGCCTCCAGGGCAGCTGCCCTAAACAGCTCCCCTGGCTCGACTGGTACGCTACGGAGGACTCTCCTACATGCCTCCGTTAGTGGTGACTGGGCCAGCGAAACCTGGCGACGAGTCTGTACCAGCGACAAGGCCTCCTCATACAGAGGTGCATCAACCGAAGGAGGTGCGTCAGCCGAAGGAGGTGCGCCAGCCGAAGGAGGTGCGCCAACCGAAGGAGGGGCGTCAACCGAAGGCCCCTACACCTGGCCCAGGCTGAAGGACCAAGAGGCGACTTCATCATGCCCCTATCGGCAGCTAGCCGATCCACTTCAGAGGACAGCTTTTCTAGTCCTTCTATTGGGGGGAGCACACATAGCCATCGCTCCCTCAAGTCGCCGGGAACGGCCGAATTGATCTGGAGGAGGATGTGACAAGGAGAGGTGTCTGTTGGCTGCTGCCAGACATTCCACCTCAGTGATTCTAGCCACTCTGAGCGCCTGAGGCATGCAGCTACAGCTCATGCAGGCGTTTACCGTGAGAACCTCCCTCAGATGCTCACATTTCTCAATGGCTCAAAAGAAGCCATACAGGCGCTACATGAATGAGCCACTCCGTAGGTAGCCAGATGCAGCGTAGCCGGGAGCGGGTGCGGGAACACAGCCTTCACCAGCTACCTGCTTAATGGAAAGAGTAGAGCGTTGCTGCTACTCGCCGAACAGAAAGAGGGATGTAATTACACCCACGTTTATCGGCAGAGGGAGCGGGAGCGAGAGCACTGCCTTCACCTGGCTGGATTAATAAACACGGCAGTTTAGCGTCTACCAGGAGCGGGGGCGAGAACACTGCCGGCTGAGTTAGAGACGAATGCCGGATGCAGCATAACCGGGAGCGGGTGCGGGAACACAGCCTTCACCAGCTACCTGCTTAACGGAAAGACAAGGCAGTTCAGCGCCTACCAGGAGTGGGGGCGAGAACACTGCCTTCACTGGCTGAGTTAGAGACGAATGCCAGATGCAGCGTAACCGGGAGCGGGTGCGGGAACACAGCCTTCACCAGCTACCTGCTTAACGGAGAAACAAGGCAGTTCTGCGTCTGCCAGGAGCGGGGGCGAGAACACTGCCTTCACTGGTTGAGTTAGAGACGAATGCCAGATGCAGCGTAACCGGGAACGGGTGCGGGAACACAGCCTTCACCGGCTACCTGCTTAACGGAAAAACGAGGCAGTTTGGCGTCTACCAGGAGCGGGGGCGAGAACTGCCTTCACTGGTTGAGTTAGAGACGACTGCCAGACGCAGCGTAACCGGGAGCGGGTGCGGGAACACAGCCTTCACCGACTACCTGCTTAACGTAAAAGCGAGGCAGTTCAGCGTCTACCAGGAGCGGGGGCGAGAACACTGCCTTCACTGGTTGAGTTCGAGACGAATGCCAGATGCAGCGTAACCGGGAGCGGGTGCGGGAACGCAGCCTTCACCAGCTGCTGAACGGGAAGAGTAGAGCGGTGCTACTACTCACCGAACAGAAAAAGGGGATGTAGCTACATCCGCATTACCGGTAGAGGGAGCGGGAGCGAGAGCACTGCCTTCACCTAGCTGGGTAAAATAAAGAAGCTTAACAGTACAGGCAAGACGTTAGCCGAGCAGCTGCTGCAAACGATCAAGCGATATCAAGTCAATAACACACATGTTTAAGACCAGATAACTAGCTTCGAAAGAAGAGAACAGCACAGAGCTGTAGTTACAGCAGTAACCATGGCCAGTGCTCACACGGCATATAACCGTAGTTACAGTAGTAACTATGGCCAGTACTTACACGGCTTAGAACCGTAGTTACAGTCGTAACTATGGCCAGAACTTACACAGCATAGAGCCGTAGTTACAGTAGTAACTCTGGCCAGTACTTGCACGGCTTGGAACCGTAGTTACAGTAGTAACTATGGCCAGTACTTACATGGCTTGGAACCGTAGTTACAGTAGTAACTAGGACCAGTACTTACA